AGGGTTGGGAGGGGAGGGGAAGGGGTGGTCAACAGACACCAGAGACCAGAGGTCAGTAATCAGGCATCTCCCGCGACAGAGTCGGTGCGCTGGCGACACGCCGCCACTTATCGGCCATGACAGCTTTCCTCGCGTCGTCATTCCCCATTGCGTGTGGCAGGAATTAAAAGGGGAGCATTTTCTCCTCGGACACAATTCTCAAACAGGTTTTGCCCTTTAATCGACGCACATTCCACACCGATATTGGAGGAAAGAATCGTATAAGTAATTTTTTTAGCGTGCACTGTTATATTCCGAGGAAGCTGGGATTGTTTCAGAATACTTTCAGGTCTGTTTGAGTAATAATATGGATTGTAAGGTAAAATCTACTGTTCAGCGGGACGTTGCTCTATACAACTGCTATTTACTATTATAGCTTTCTTTTCTTTTTACCCTCTTCCCCCTTGAACTTATTGATACAATTGCAAAAACATAAAAAATTAACCCGTATCTTTTACATATTATTTTCATGCGTCGTGTTTTTTTTTCTCTCAAAACGATGGTAAGTTTTTCCCTCGAAGAAATCAGAACATTTTTTCTTACTTGAAAGTTTGTAGTATCTCCCACCATCTCACTTCAGGAAGTCACTCAGTGTTTTTCTGTCTCGTGGCCATACGAGATAATGTCAAAAAGCAAACACACGCACAAAAAACAAAACCGAAAGCTTATGTATGTATGTATGTACTAATTGTAAACCAAAAGAATACTGCTATTTATGAAAACGTGAAGTATGTTCTGACAATTAAATTGTGCTTTTCACAGGAGAGTGAATTGGAAAGAGCTGTTCAGAAAGAGAGCGGTTTCTTCTTTTTGGATTCTAGCTGCAACTGAAAAATGATGGGTACTTGGACCGTATGCGCCCTGTTGGTGATGGGTAAGTTTCTTATTTCCTTGTATGCAGTTGTTGGCTCGGATGTTGACTGTGCAATGACGTCGAAAATGTTATTCTGTTTGCAACAGTAGCCCTCACCAGCACAAACACATTCTCACATATTCAGACGAGCGCATGCATACACACACACACACACACACACACACACACACACACACACACACACACACACCCAGATACACACAAACACATCTACAAACACATACACATAATAACACACACATTCACATGCGCCGCAGTGAACCACAACTTTGAAAACGTGAAGTTGCTAAGTATTCGTAACCAACGAGAAACCCCTTTTTACGCAGCATTCGATTGCCCCTTGCAGCTCTCCTTCTCTGTCCAACCTACAAGGTGTTTATGCAAAGTGGCCGCGCACTCCGCCTCCGAGAGGTGACCCATGCAGAGTGCCAATTGCAGGAGATTCCTCGACCCCCTCTCTCTCCCCATCCTGCTACTTATTCTGAGGGTAGATTGTACCAGAGAGCCCTGTTAAGCTAGAGTCGGTCTATGGAACAGTTGCAGCTTCGAAGTCATTATACATGTATTCACTCACTATGCTTCTAAATGGCTCGCTCTGTTATGGGAAAGGCCTACTGAAAAAAGGTATCTAAAATGCTTCGGTATGGCTGAGTACCCGGCTTAGCTCGGGTCGATGCCTTGGCGTCATTGCTCCTACTGGTCTACGCCGTGGAGGCATTTTACATCTACATTGCTCTCTAGCCTTTCACAGTCACACCTGGCTTCTAGATCTATATTGCTTTAGATTAGGTCTGCATTTAAGTCCTCTCTTGATGTACATTGCTTTAGTGTATTGCTGTCTAGCCCTTCACATTCACAAAATACGGGTTTCGCCTTACACCTTCACAAAAAGCACTAAGAAAATACTAATCCACGAAAGGGCTGCTACACTGTAAAAGGAACACACCGACGTCTTCAAAATCACCGAGGCAGTGTTTATAGCTTATTTACTTTCCTCTGACAGCGTAAAAAAAAATTCTAGCTCATTGACAAATTTGCCTATGCCCACGAAACTTTGCATGGCACTTCTACAGGCTAGCGACCTAACAAAAATATTTTTTCCCAAAATCTTGACCCAGAAATAAAAAAGTTTTCTCTTTGGGCCCTATATTAAAATCAACTCTTTGGATGCATACACAATGTCATGATCACGTCTCCACGTACTACTGGTGAAATCTCGAAAATTACTCATCCGTCTCTTGAATCGTGTTTCTTAGGCGAACGTTAAAGAGCGATAATGAACTTCCGTTGTGAAGGAGAGCTACGCAGATTTGTTTCGTTTCTCAGTAGAATAATCACAAAGGCCAAAGAAGGAAGGGAACTTTTTGTCAAATATATCTGTCTAAATTCAGGAAATGAAAAAGAATAAACATCGGGCTCCGTCATGGGGACCTATCTATCTTTTTGCAGGTACTTTGCCAATTTTCAACACTGTAGCTGTCGTAGTTTTATTGGAAAAGTGACACATGTGTTTCCAAGTTGCCAAATATACAATAGATACTACAAAAAAGCAGAGGAAAATATTTTTGTAAAATGACTTCAATTGTAGGAAGGAAACAAAACAATTTATTTAGCACCCGTTGGCGACGTATTTTACTGCTAAACTACAGGTCAATTTTCGAGGACGTTTCGATAGAGTAAGTGGACTATCTCGCTGTGTACGTATCGGAGTGGTGATTTTCATTTCGATTTTTCTTCTGCAGTTGTAATCCTTCTTTTTGAATGAATCAACAAGTTTGTTCATTTAAGAGGCGGGCTTCGACCCTACTTGTATGGGCCAACTCTTGCTCGGAAGGATACAATTTTCAGTCAGAAAGATCGTGATACTCAATTTAAAAAATAATTTCCCCACTTGGGAATCTAACCCAGGTCTTATGCGTGCGACCTCAAAGTGTCTAACCGTTACACCACTGACGCAGGCGGTCATTCTTTACCTAAGATAAGATAAGATAATACGTTATTATCCCAGAGAGAAATTATTCTTGGCTGTACAGGACCGTAGTAGCACGTGCAGGTGCACACACACACACACACACACACACACACACACACACACACACACACACACACACACACACAATCAAATGATATTAAAATTCAATATGAAAAGAGAAGCAAAGCTGACAAAATGTACATATCACATCAGATGCATCATTCAACCACAAGCAGGAATTTAATTACATGACTGTCACAGTATAATGACGAAAACCAACCTTCCTTCCTCAGTCTTGATCATTGCGGTACATGCTCTGGTACAGAAGAAGTCAGCTACCCTACGGAGATCATGCAGCTTACAAAATATTATAGGCGTGCTTTATGCTAAGAAAAAAGAAGTTAACAGTTTGATAACCTTCCAGACATTTCACTTTATGACTCTTTAGAAAAATTCACACGCCCCAGTCTTCTCTCACCCCCCCTCCTCTCTTTCTTTCTTACTCTCTTTCTTTCTCTCTCTCTCTCTCTCTCTCTCTCTCTCTCTCTCTCTCTCTCTCTCTCCCGATCTCTCTCTCCCCCCCTCTCTCTCCCCCTCTCTCTCTCTCTGGGCAGAAAGTATCGATAATGCCGAGCGCATACTTAAGCATACCTTTACTTCTCTCTTATTGTTCTTTATTTTACGTATATATATATATATATAATATAAATATATATAATATATATATATATATATATATATATATATATATATATATATATATATATATATAGGTTTTTTAAAGTTTTAGTAAGTGTCTACGGCACTTGCTACACACTAAGGTCATATAAGTGCTGAAGATTAGAGGTGTTACAAGGCAGTAACAAACACAAAAAAGAAGGAGGGATACGGACGATAGGTGTTTGACATGAAAGAAGAAGCAAACCACACCAGAACACCTGCCAAGCACCCACGCACTGAGAGTAACGATAGTGGTATATCGAGCCACACCATGATGAGTTGCCTTTTGTGTTTATGTCTGAGGCCGCGCTTGCTGCCGTTTGTATAACAGGTCTTCGCTGACTGAATGTAGTTGGAAAAAAGAACCTCTGTTTAACACCCCCTCCCCCCAAAAAAGCAAAAAAAAAAAAAAAAAAAGCAAAAAAAAAAAGAAAAGAAAACCAAAGAAAACAAAAACCCGTGTCAATAAAAAGCATGCTCCCTCCCCTCCCCCTTCCCCCACATCGTCTTGCTATTTTAAAAGTGCATTTTTTATTACACTGTTTATATTCAGGAACTTGAGAAGCTTTGAAGTCACCAACAAAATGTATTTGTACACTAATACAAGTTATGCCTCATGAAAGGATCTAGGATATTCCGAGACAATCCCAGAGGATATTAACATTTATTCCGACGATGGTCTTCATCTCTTTGTGTCCACTTTTTGTCAGACTCTACTGGGGGGGGGGGGATCTCAGGTTGTACCCATGACAACTTGCTGATCGCAAGCAGCAGGCTTTATGAGACGGTGTCAGGGAGAGAAATAGCAGGGTCTATGTATTGGTATTGGATGAGAAAAGAAGAGCTGTGGGAAAGGACAGGGCAAAAGGATGTAGAAGTAGAAATAGAACTAAGAAAGTGGCGATGAATGGGACACACCTTCAGAAAGTCGCTGCAGTGGAACCCACAAAGAGCATGAGGCAGGGGGTAGGCCACGGGAAACATGGAGGAGATGAGTGGAAAGGGACATGAGAGAGATGAAGCTCACTTGGAACGAGCTTGGAAGGATGGTCCAGGATAGAGATAAATGGAAGGAGCTTGTATGTGACCTATACCTTGCCAGGGGTGAAAGGCATTGAAAATGATGATGAAGTATTGGTTTATCTCCCTTTTCAACCAGGGCAAATTAATTACAAGGCGGAACTCCCTATTTTTAGATACACATGTCTGACAAAAAAAAAGCCCGCGCAAAACAGAAAGATAAAATCAGAAGTTTCGTCTCTTAAATGTCCTTGCGGCATTTAAATGTGAGTTTAATTCCTATCAGTACCGATTCTGATGAGTAACATTGTTCAATCTCATGATATGGTAACGTTATTTGTGAACTCTCTGAAAGTCTAAACAGTATCGATTGCGAAACTTTTCAAACTAGATTTTTTTTACTTTAGCAATTACCCAATACTGAATCCTTGGTCGTGTTATGTCCTGAGACAAGTGGTTGCATAGGTTCTACTGCGTTTCCTTTCTATAAAACTGCGCTGTCCCTGGGAATTAAGATTGATCTGATAACCTATAACTAATCTGAAAAAAGTCTGTCTGTTTTCGATGGCAATTGAAGAGGAACGAGCATCAAAATAATGCTGGAAGTTTTTCTCTGGTCCATTCCTGAGGAATTCTTCTTGACACGCCACAATTCTCTCATACGTCAACGAAGTCCTGCGCCTTCTCGTCTTCAGTGGAGTCGGTTGACGTTAAAAGAACCGGTATATGTGATCGTGTAAAGTATGAATGTGTGTGTTTGTGTGTGTTTGTTTGTGAGTGTATGTGTGCGTGTTTGTTTGTTTGTAAGTGTGTGTGCACGAGTGTGTGTGTGTGTTTGTGTTTGTCTACGTGTGTTTGTGTGTGTGTCTGTTTGTGTGTGTGTTTGTGAGTGTTTGTATGTGTGCGTTTGTGTGTGTATGTATATGTGAGTGCGCGCGCGCGCGCGCGCGCGTGTGTGTGTGTGTGTGTGTGTGTGTGTGTGTGTGTGTGTGTGTGAGAGTCTGTGTTTGGGTGTGTGCGGGTTTGTGTGTTTGTGAATGAGGAGGTAGAGGTAAAAAGGGAGTGGGGAGTGGGCTGCCAGTCTGTCGTGATTTAATTAATTATAGATGAAAGGGGAACAGTAACAAACAATTATCCATTTCTCTTTTTCAACTCGTAATATTGACAGTTTTTCTCCAACGTGATTTGAAAAATTATGGTTATTTACACCAGATGCCGTTGCCTTCGGCATGGACTCCACAGAAAAAGGAGAACAGTGCTCAGTTAATAAAAACTGCTTTCATTTTAT